AAATGTTATTACTATGTACGTCTTTTCATTGATATTGTGTGTGTGTAGTGTATGTTTTCATGTTTCTTTACACTGTAAAGTCTATGGCCACTAAATAATCCCGGACAGGCCCCAAGTTTGTCATGACCCGGCTCATAGGCCATGACAAAAATGGGAAACACACACGGTAACTGAAAAGTGCCCAAATTTATTGTTAACAGAAGATAATCGCCAAAAGCATAACTGAGTTATGAGGTGTGTAAATCTGTGTGTCAGTGTGTCGGGGTGAGTAGGTGAGTGAGTGATGTATGCAAGGTGTTGTATGGTGTAAAACACAAACTGAAAACCAGGCCGAAGCCAACTAAACAAAACGTGATGGCACTCACTCAGCTACGCACATCAGGACCTACAAGCCACAGCAGACAGACACGGGAAAACACACACAAAGCAGGCTTAGCTGAAGCAGGAGGCCGTCACAGTGTAGTGACACTGCATTATTTTTTTAGTGTTTTACCTTTAGTGTCCTCTTATAAGTATTTTAAAGTTCATCACTGGATTTAAGAAGTCTGTCTTCTCCTCTTAGAGCTTCCAGTGAGAGCCTCGCTGCCCAGATGAAGGCCCAAAACAAAGTGCTGCTCATCGTCACCAAAGAGAAGGAGTGAGTGTTTATTTTCTAAGTGAGATTGAGTGAAAGATTTATCAATGTGTGAATTTTTGTTTGTGTGTTGTTGGTGTCGGTGTGTTAGTCCTGTTGGTAACACTTTACTTGAGGGCATCTACATAAGGGTGACATGACACTGTCATAACTATGACATGACACGGTCATGAACCTGTCATAAACATTATGTACATGTCATAAACCTTCATGACTGCTGTCATTAAGTGTCATTCGGTTTTTGTAATGACAAGTTGACATTGTTTGGGTTGTCTTGATTATGTCAACTTGACATTAATCAAAGTGACATTACCAGAAGTTGTCTTTGTCATGACAAGTTGACATTAAATTTGTTTGGGATGTCCTTATTATGACAACTTGACATTAACAAGAAATGCACCTCTTTTTGTGTTTATGACAACTTGACATAATGATTATTATTGTCATGACAAAGACAGCTTCTGGTAATGTCACTTTAATTAATGTCAAGTTGACATAATCAAGACAACCCAAACATTGTCAACTTGTCATTACAAAATCCGAATGACACTTAATGACAGCAGTCATGAAGGTTTATGACATGTACATAATGTTTATGACAGGTTCATGACCGTGTCATGTCATAGTTATGACAGTGTCATGTCACCCTTATGTAGATGCCCTCAAGTAAAGTGTTACCAACAGGACTAACACACCGACACCAACAACACACAAACAAAAATTCACACATTGATAAATCTTTCACTCAATCTCACTTAGAAAATAAACACTCACTCCTTCTCTTTGGTGACGATGAGCAGCACTTTGTTTTGGGCCTTCATCTGGGCAGCGAGGCTCTCACTGGAAGCTCTAAGAGGAGAAGACAGACTTCTTAAATCCAGTGATGAACTTTAAAATACTTATAAGAGGACACTAAAGGTAAAACACTAAAAAAATAATGCAGTGTCACTACACTGTGACGGCCTCCTGCTTCAGCTAAGCCTGCTTTGTGTGTGTTTTCCCGTGTCTGTCTGCTGTGGCTTGTAGGTCCTGATGTGCGTAGCTGAGTGAGTGCCATCACGTTTTGTTTAGTTGGCTTCGGCCTGGTTTTCAGTTTGTGTTTTACACCATACAACACCTTGCATACATCACTCACTCACCTACTCACCCCGACACACTGACACACAGATTTACACACCTCATAACTCAGTTATGCTTTTGGCGATTATCTTCTGTTAACAATAAATTTGGGCACTTTTCAGTTGATACCGTGTGTGTCTCCCATTTTTGTCATGGCCTATGAGCCGGGTCATGACAAACTTGGGGCCTGTCCGGGATTATTTAGTGGCCATAGGCTTTACAGTGTAAAGAAACATGAAAACATACACTGCACACACACAATATCAATGAAAAGACGTACATAGTAATAACATTTAAAAAAAACAAAAAAAAAACACATCAGTGTGGTCATACTTCTGTTCAGTTATCCAACGGTTGACATTAGTCATGACCAGCTGGCTCTCATGGCGAAGGTTTGCATTGTCAGACCGGGTCCCCTCCAGCTCTGACCGCAGTATGTCCACCTACAACACAGGCAAATATCACCTATCACAACAAGTCGTCATACAACAATTTATATGGTTACTATGTATGTGCTTTTTCACATTTCCCCTCTAGTTAATGACTTTGCCAACTTTAAATAAACCCTTCATCTATTCTCTGACTGGATTCGTGATGAAAACTTGAAGACCAACCTTCACTCTATCATGGTTTTAATGTACTTCAGTTAAAGCAGAGGTTTACAGCTAAAATACATTACTTTCTTTCAAGAAAAGTATTAACATCTAACACTGGCTTTCTAAATTTAGATGGGTTTAAGTCTCCCTCTTATTCTACACACACTTGCAAAGGTGTGAAATAAAGGAAGGTAAAAAAAAAAAGGGAGGGGGGGGGATAAGTGAGGCTTTAATAGATGGCAGCCAGGACAGGGTGAAAATAAATGTCAAAAATAGAGCATAATAGCAACACAAGAGGAAAAATTAGGTAAATGGAGAATAATGGGGGATGAAAGAGATGGCATTTGCAGACGCAGGTATAAATAGCGGGGTGAGGTATTAAGCAGGTGCAAAAGAGGAAAGATGGAGGACAGGGGTGGGGGGGGGGGGGCAGAGGCAGACTGAAGACGAGATTGTGGAGAGGAGACGGGTGAGGGGTGAAAACAGGGATGGGATGGCACCGACCAAACTGCTGACTTTTTCATTCTGCTTATCAGTCAGGACCTTTCCAGGCCTAAACTCTGGGGACCCTGACACATTACCCTTATCGCCATGGAAACACCTTGATACACCATACCATCTTCCCACAAAGACTTGGGCAAACATGAAAAAAAAAAGTTTCCAATATGTGGGCCATGATTTAAGTGTCCAAAAATGTCATATGATTAACCCAAAATGTCAAAAAAAAAAAAAAAAAAGAACTGCTGTGTGAGGTGAATTATGTGCTGTGTGTGTGCATGTGTGTGAATGTTGAATCACATATATCTGCCAAAATATTTTCCTGTTGGTGCTTATCTGGAAAACATCACTGACTTCAATGCAACATAGAGATAGTAAGAGAACTGATCCTGTTGATGCAGAGCTGAATGGGAAGATTGTGTACTGGAGTAAAAACAGGTAAATATGTCAAATAATTATCCTTCATTGTATTAATATATGGCTTCAGAGGAACATGACAACGCAGAGAATAAGCCAGTGGAGAATCATTAAGATTGGCTGATGTAGGGATTGTTGGGGATTGAACGCTGTGTCTATATATAAGTCGAACTCCTCTGGGTCACACCCAAATAAGGCTACAGGACTACTGCTTGTGCGCCCCGAGGTTGAAGTGAAAATATCATGCTTATAGTTGCCTGAGGTGAAAATGTTTTAAGTTATTTACAACTTTATCTAAGAGAAGCCAGTCTTTCATGTCTGCACCACATCTACCCTGGGCAGACAGTTCAAAAGTTCACCAGCTGACCAGTCAACTTAGCTGCATACTCTATATGAGAGAAATTCAAAAAGCAACTCACGGCACAATGTGCAATCTAATATCAAAATCTGTTGTGAGGTCAAATGTTTTAGGAATAGACATGAACAATACTTGACACATGTGTTGGACATGTAACACAAAACTAATGCATTCCAGTTGGAAGCCAGCAGGCTGGCATAGAGTAGTGTGAGGAGTCAGATAAGACAGGACTGCCACTGAAGTCTGGTTCTTGTTGAAAGAAACTCAGGGAGGTTCAAATATCACATCCATAAGACAAGAGTGCTTCAGCTTCTGTTTTGTGTTGAACTACTTTGAGTCTGTTTCTGAGATAACAACGAACAAGAAAGCGATTATGACCTCTCAAATAATTGGTAAAATTAAATCTAATAAAAAGAAATAAGGTGTATGGTATCTAGTTTTGTAGTTTTGTAATCTCCCTTGTACAATTTAATGTATGCATTAATTTTTGTTTTTTTGTCTTTTTTTTATTTTGTTGCTTGACATGTGATGTTAAAATGATAATATGTCAATGTCATAAAATGAAGTATCTGTAAAATGTACTTAATGTACTTTATGTACTTGTTATATCTGAAATACTATTGATAAAAAAAAAAACAGGAAGGTTTGACTTTGTCTAATATTTACAAAATCTATGAGACATGACTTGGGCAACCACCCATTTGTCACAATTATGTAAAGATGACAGTGACACATAATCAATTATCAAAGGAGCACTATACAATATTCAGAGGAAATCTATGATCCAAAAGTTGTCTGCACACGGCTCTCAACATGGAGGAGGCCGAGCTGGTGGCTAGCAGCAGTGCTAGCAGTGCTAACAATGGCTGAAAACAAAGTGCTGACAGAGCCAACAGTGTTAACTGGGGAGGGAACGGGACAGTGGGCGCTGAGCTTCCACAAAGATGCATCCCGATATCAGCGGTAACCACCATAACGCTGTGCAGAACGGTGGCTATTAGCTAGCCGGTACACTCACAGGCCTCAAGTGCACTAACATGCCCGCACGGCTGGACAGTTTACCACAACAAAGAAAAGAGAAGCTCGGATTACAACACACACACACACAGGGACCTTGACTTCGTTCTCCGCTCAGGATGCCATTACTCCACTTTATCTTTACATAGCAAATACTGGTTTGCTGCTATATTAATGGTCTGAATATTGAATAGAGCTCCATTAAAATTGCATAACTTAATGAAGAATTACACTTTTAATTACACTCTGATTAAGAAAGGGCTTCATTTCAACAAATAAAGCAATGAAGAAAAACTGGAGCAACAATGACATTACATCAATCAGATCATTAAATTTTGAAGAGTAAACCAAGTCAGGGCATCGATTGTAATTACATTGAACAACAATGGAGTAAATATTGTGGATCCCCTGTTGTTTGTGATTTCACTCCTGTTTTGTATCATGCACAGACGCAGCTTTGTGTTGTGGAAGTTCTGTTGTGAACCAAAACCACACGCTAATACTCCGATATTAATTATATACACAAAAATATCAAACCTTAGCATTCAAAAGCTCAAAACACAGCCACGCTCACAATGCATCTGCACACACCCTCAAATGCACACACACACCCTCACACACACGCACACACTGGCAGGATCTGTGCTGTAATGACAGTAATTACCTGTGGTCTCACATTAACATCTCCCTGCTGACTGTCTGACTGGCTCGGCTGGTGGAGGGATGTAAATCGCAGCACAAGTCTGATGTTGTGATTAGGACTAAATTACGCACCATCACTCTGTTTCCACCAGTGTCAAGGGAGGCAGTGAAAGGGTGTGTTAGGGAGAGGGGGAGAGGGAGGAGGACATTTAGAGAAAAAGCGACAAAGGAGGTGCGAATGCGAGCGGGGGGAGGAGTAAAGTAGCATACCTGCTTAACATTTAGATTGGTTTTGTTGCACAAATATTTTAGCAGATGATGGGGGCTAAAAGGGGCAACAAAATGCATTTGGGACACACTTATAACCAAGTTTGGCGATACCATTGGTCCTTTCAGGGGTATGCTAGAGAATATGAGTTGACTACCGCAGTGCTGGTGACGGATTTGGGATCTTTACAGCTGCTGCGACAGTATTTATCATTTTGATGGTTTATTCTATGAGAATAAGGCAGAGTTGTCCAGTCCACAGTCCACCCTTTCCACTGACTATAGATACAAGATGGACTTTGTGCAATCTTTTTCTGAACTTATACATCTGCATGAACTTTCACAACAAACCACAAAGCGTACACGCAGACAGAAAAAAAAAGATTGCGGGGACTTAATGGCTTTTCCATCTTTCCTACTCTCCATAGAGCTGTGGACTAGTATCACATTGCACATTAGCTGTCCAGGACAGAAGTGCATTTTCACTAAAACAGACCAAGCTGTCCAAGGTCTTGGGATAAACATAATTCAAAGTTAACTTTTCTGGGTAAAGAGAGGAATACGGAGATGAGGGGAAAAGAAAAATTCAGAAACCGACAGCCTGGTTGCTGCTACCATCGCCATCAAACCGCCAGAGCTGAATACGAGCCATTACTCTGTTCCACTCAGCTCATCAGAGCACATCCTCTCATCAAATTAATGAACACATTTATTGTTAAACACGTTTTTATAAAACATTCATTCATTCTGTCTAATTAAAAGACCCAACAGGCCTGACATCACTTAAATATGCATACTTATCACTCACAGGGTCTGAATTAAAGATCTACAGGCGTGTGTGTGTCTGTGTGTGTACACTGTATGTGTGCATGTGCATGTGCGACGGCGGGAGAGAATGAGGTTTCCTAAGCAGGTCTTCTCACTCTAGGCTTAATGGTGATAATCATGGCGTGACCCAACATTAAGACCATGTGTGCGTGTGTTTGTGTGTGTCCCACTCTCCCTAATGGTGACGATGATGACATGTTCTCCATTAGACTAGTCAGTGGGCCACAGCAGATCTAGCATATTAATGATGCTGATGATGGCTTCTTTAATTACCTTCGTCTGCTGCTGCATGGCCTCACTCCTCTCCCCGAGTCCTTTCATCACAGACTCTCCTACGCATGCTGCTGGGTTGTTTATCAGTGGCTGCCATTACTGAAGTCCCCTATCTTGCATCGAGCCTGCATGAGCACAGCTACATTACCAGCCTTGGTAAAAAGTTTCTCACCCACTTCCCAGCTAGATGAAGTTCCCCATCTAGTAGGTATCCCTTTGAAGGGGACCTGTTATGCTTTTCTTTATTGTCCGTCATATATAGCCTATATAATGTTACAAGGTCGGATTTTCATGGCTCAACATGGAGAAAGTTTGAAATAATGAGGTAAACATATGTAGAAGTAATAAGAAGTAATACCTGAGAACTAAAACCTCAGGCTTCAGACCGTTGTGAACATTCTGATTTAAACATGTTTTTCATATTTGGCCATAAGTGAATGTCAGATCATGACAGATTTCCTTATATGGCCATCTGCTCCAGGCCCTAGTGACACAGCTCAGGTAAGCATATTAGAATATCACAGGTTTCTTGATACATGGCAGGCTCGTCATTACGTGACAAAGCAGTGTTCTGAGTAAGTTATCAATAACTCACAGAAATGTCAT